GTTCATCTCGTCGGAGGCTTCAGGGCAGTCTGGGTGTTGGTCACACACTTTATAGTAGTCGACACACTGACTGTCCTCGGGGCACGTGTACTGTGCCACACACACTGAAACACATGACAAAGTATCGCTTTGCACATGTCTTATAAAACATTGCAATAAATTTTACTTTTGATTAAAAATTAAATAAATAGATTTTTAAAATAAATACATTTGGTACTGTATGAGGTGCCGTTTGCACAGTTATTTGAGTTACATAGCCTGTAAGAAAAAAAATTGACTTTTTTTTCCAAAATCATATTCAAACCATGTTATTCATTCATTTATAAATGTGACCATTTCAAACTACAAATATTCAGTTAGCAAGGTAATTATTTAGCTATAATAAATGTTTAGCCAACAGACTAAATATTTATATTGAAGTCAAATATTTAATTATCAAGAAACATATTTAGTTAATCATCTAGTTAATCATTTAGCTCCAAAGTAAATATTTAGTTATTAAACTAATTATTTAGCTTTATAAAATAAAGTAAATAAGTACAAGTAGCTTAATAGTTAGCTTGATACTAACTATTAAGTTAGCAAGATAAATATTTTGTTCACCATATTAATATTTATCTCCATATAAGTTAACTTCAAACTAAAAATTTGGTTTAAAGCTAACTATTTAGTTAGGAAGACAAATATTTAGGACAACAGTGCAGGGCATTCTGGGTAACTATAACCAAATCAAATGCGTGATGCTAGCGCTAGAGGGAACAATGTAGCATTTCTCTTTTGTGAAATACAAAAGAGAAGTGCTCCAACCGCTAATATCTGACCCTACTCTATTTTTGTTTACATTTTGCCAAGCAGGAAGTTGCGCTCAGTGCCATTTTTGGAGGCTTGTGTGTCATTTCCTTCAGTGGTTTTGGGTGCAGCCCCACCAGAGCGAGGCGAACAGGAAACAGTTTTTTTGAAAGAGTTTGGATCGTTTCACACATGGCAGTGTGAAAGTGAACCACACCACCTGAAAATTTATCAAATGTTGCAACTTTGATCCCCAATTGAACCGAGTCTACCGGATTATCAGGTGTGAAAACACCCATAATATTTAAAATGGAGGTAAATATAAAGTTGGTAAGCTGAACATTTAACTTGCTTTTTAGATATTTACTTTGGTGACATTTATAAATCAATGAACTAGTTATCAGTAAGTAATAATAATACATTCAACAATTTGGTAAGCTTCACTACAAACACCACAATTTTCTGAGATCTGTAATATGGAGTTTTTAAAGGGCATCTGGGTCCTTGGGCCAGCTCCCTAGAAATGACAACAAAACGGTCGCCTCTGTGTCGAATATTTCAGTTATAGATTTAAAATTTATGAATTTAAAATCTAAACTTCGTACCACAGTTTCTCTCATCCAGTCCATTGGAGCAGTCCTTGATTCCATCACACAGGGGGACACAGAGTCCGCTCACAGTGCACAGGAACTGACCTGGACAAGCTGCACACACAGAAAACAAGAACAAAAACTCACGTTGCAGAAAGGGTCTCTTCTCGGGAATCTTTCCTGCATCCACGACTTACGGTCGGAAAGGTTAAAGACACTGTAGTGAACCTGAAGGCCCGGCCCGGTCAGCGACACCTCAGAGGTCATAACGACGGTGGTTGAGTTCGTGAGCAGGGAGAGGCGTTCGCAGTACGGCTGCAGACCTCTGGTACCGCACAGCCTGAGAATTCAACCAGCATCAATTCTTTTATAATGATAAAAAAGGATAATGTAGAACTCAAAAATAAATGTTGCCATTTGATGCACTGAACCAGATTTTAGCAAAAGCTAATTTGCGTCTGCAGTACCTTTGCTAGTTGCAAAAATGGACATACAGCAATAAAATTAGATAGAAAATAACTCATAGACTATGAGTTATTTTCTATTCACAATACACAAACACACATTGTACAGACACACACACACACACACAGTCATGCGGTTAATGTTCACATACCTGAGTGGTTTTTAACAACCTAAGCTAGACGATATGTAAAATGAAAATCATATATTTTTATCCAAACAGATTGATTAAATTTTTGCCTCTGACTGATCAAAATATATTCTGTAGATAAAGATGAGAATATGAAACCTGCAGGTAAAAAACCCCCCTAAAAAGGTCACTAGATAGTATTAGGATGCTTTAGTGAGACAATAGTGCCACCTTGTGTTCAGACAACTGAAAGTTCCCTCATTTGAGTCTTGTAAATTATTTAAAAAATATTATTAAAAAATATATCTGAAGTTGTAGTTACAAAAACGTATTTTAGTTGGGAATTTCAGTCAGGCTTTAAAGAAGTTGTGATATAGTAAATGTTTTGACACATGGACATAATTTAATGTGATTACAACTAAACTGAGATGCACAATGTGAAAAATATAGTTAGCAGATAATTTTTTGTAATGTCTACTGGCCTTTTAGCTGCCACCTGCATGTGTAGTATAAATGGAGGAAGAAAAACAAAGAAGTGGGCCTTAACCATAAGCCTGCCTTTTAACTTCAGCGGTGCAGCACCTGGACTTTACTGAAATAGACCTTTTTATAAAGGAACGGAAACATTTATGAAGCCAGACATTTGTTTTTTCTTTCACTGACTGTCTAACATTAAAATACACATAAATTTTTCTATTTTAAATCACTTAGGATTCTGTAAAGTCTTCATATTATAATTAGATTTCTGTTTGTGGTTTAAACCAGTGGTTTAGTTGAACAGAGGAAAAAGAAGGCTGTCCAGACTAATTGTAAAAGACCATACCTGCGGTTCTGGATGACCCACTGACCCTGGGTGCAGGCTTCGTTGTAGCTGGCTCTGCTAAGCTCATAGCCTTCAAACTCCAGAGCTAAACCCAGCGCTGCGCCCGGCATCTGAGAGAAAACAGGAAATGGGGTTTATTTTACCGACTGTAACTACATTTTAAAAGAAACATTGTAGAGGTACAGATGGAAGGGACTCTGACGATGAAAGTCCAGGTACAGTTGGTGTTCGGAGGGTAGAAGCTGGGGAAGAAAGGCGTCTGCAGAGTCCCCTGCACCCCCTGTACTTCCTTCAGCTGAATGGAGGAGATGCAGTCTGAGAATACCGAGCAGAAAATATCTGGGTTATAAATCCGTTTGCCCTTGCAGTATGAAATTCAGGAATTCAGCTGCATGTGGTTTGCTAATGAAAATGTGGACTTAACAAACTTGCTGTCATGTTTTTTTTTAATGACATTGCGTGTAGGAACTTCCTCGTGATGTGATTTTAATCGCTTTTCTTATTCAGTGGAAACACTGTAATTCCGAAATTTTGTTCTTTTGACTGCGGAATGTTGACAGTGTTTTTCGCACGTTTGTAATGGAAACACAGCTTTTGACGGCAACATAATAGCAGAATATGTAGCTATTGAAAACTACACCACAGCTGCATAAACAGTATTTCTTTCAGACAGCTTCAGTCTTACCCTGTTGGGGCCAAGCTTGTGCAGACAAAGAAAATGGGTCCTTGTAATTGTAAAGGCCTTTTTTCCAAACCACCGTCATCCACTCACTGGATGAGAGCACGCGCACCACGTCTTCGTGTCTGCTGCAGCCATACACCCTTCAGTAGAAAACAAAGCTGAAATGTAGCCACATGATTGTTCTCTTTTTGAGGTCATGAATTTTGAATTTCATTGAGCTTAAAGCGATCGAGTTTGTAGTATTTGTTGGAAAAAAACTCAACAACTTACGACGTAATTAGATGGTGATCGGAGGGGGTGATGGAGTCGTACACCACCAGCCGGTCTCTGCACTCGGGGAGCAGCCACTCCATGTGGAGCTCCAGCTGGGACCCGGGGTCGGTCTGGAGGTGCCACAAGCAGGAGAGCCGATGTGTTTCAGGGCCGCGCAGAGCCATGGGGCTGCTGGACACCACCTTCTGGTAACGGTAACAGTCTGAGGACGAAGAAGCCAGAACTTACAATTAATGCTAAGAAAAAGAAGAAGAAGAATAATAAGAAACCCTTCATTTACCCTTTAAGGGCTCATCAAAAGATGAAAACTAAATAGTGAAAAATGAATACTGAATTATTGCAGGATGACTACCGTAGTGCCATGATATTTGCATTAGTTTCATGCGGTGTCTTTCTGGTACCACACGCTAACACCAAAATTAATTGCACAAAATCTTGCTTTTCTTTTCTTTTGAGTTGCTTTGACTAAAAGCCTCTGCTAAATGACCACTTATAAATCCTTGATAATATTCAGCTGCATAAAACATGGCGGGTATGACAATCTGCCAGCTGTTCTGTTCTAATTTGTGGTTTTTCACTAAATCAGCCTAAAATTACATCAACCTGCTGCTTGGCTCTTACTTAAAACATTTTTCTTTTATCTGTCATAAACACATTTATCTATCTTCACTGCATTGTGAAAGTATTCATACTAATTCAGTATATGGAGTCTACAACATTTACAACCCAAAGGGCCATGTTTACTCACAGGCCATCCAAAGAAAACTTGTTGAAAGCAACAAACGACTTCATGAAAAAAGACAACTCATAATTTTAGATAAATGTCTATTATTGGAAATTTGTGTCATTTTTAAAGAACCACCATTTTATTTCTATTTTTAAGATTTAATGGAAAGATAAACATGAAATGTATCTTAGAAACGATGGGAAAATGACACTAAAAATAAAAATCCACATCGATTCCAACCTAATGACAAGAAAGACGGATCTAAAAACATGTTACTTGTGCCCTGAGTGATGCTCGCTATATGACAGAACACCCACAGAGTGATGATAAAATTAACAAATTACAAAGTAAAAAAATGATGAAATGGAAAAAAGAAAGACGTGATACCAAACGAAGATGTCAAAACTTCTACAACTTTGGAGTCGGTTTCTGTGGGGAGGTGAACAAAAAAACCAATGAAACTGAAATTATATCAGGAATACGATCTGTTTCACAATCTCATTCATAACTCTGTGTCTCACCAGTAACACACAGGGTAGGGAGGTGGAACAGGAAGCCATCGACGTTTGCCGTCTCCCCATGCTGTGACCTTCCGTACCACCTGAGGCCGTCCTCCAGGCTTCTGGTGACTTCTTCTACTGTGACTTTTCCTACGTGACTGTTGGGGACCGACAGCACTATCCAGAAGTGAGCCACCACACTGCCCTGCCTGCAGGAACACAGACAAGCCTTAAATTAACACAATTGATAATAGAGAAATAAATGAATAAAAATTAACCGCTCTGCAACTCATAAGCACTTTTCACTATTGACTTAGACATCACCCACTGTCAGAGGAGGCGGGTTTTAGGTGTATACTTTATGAAAATGAAGTAAAGTTCAGTCAATTTGGTTTTGGCTTTTATTACTCTAATACTTCAAGAAAAACAGAGGTCCACATACCCAAATGCAAAGACAGTGGTGTAGTTAAAGTATCTGGAAAGAGATGAGGCTTTCATGATCTTCTTTAACTAAAAGATAAAAAAAACACATTATTTAACATTCAGCAGCCTTTATTTAATCCTGTTTTTTTGAATTGGTGTGATTTCATTTTCACATTTTAGTGTGACTAACTGTGTTTCCATCACAAAAGTGCAAAGATCTTCATCTCTATTCTACTAATATCCGGAAAAACACAATTTCACAGTTGCGATGTTGCCATTAAATAAGAAATGGAATGCTATTTCTTCCTGTTGTCCTCTTCAACGTTTCGCCAGTAGTAACATCTGGCTTTTGATCATGTGACTTGTGTGATTCGTAAAAAGTGTTTCCATTGCAGATTTGCAAAATACATTATGTCGATAGGCTGATAAAACACCTCATCCTAGCACATTTTTTTTGTTTAATCGAAAAACTTTTGTTTTTCTTTAAGTCGGCATGTTTCCATTTAGCAAATTTATTTTTGTAATTTCAATTTGCGCAATTTTATGGTTAATGGAAACGCAGCTACTGATAAGTGAAAGTAAACAGAGAACATTGCTGTGCTTTTATTCTGAAGGCAGGAAGTGCATTTTGTGCATCAGTGAATCTCAGAGCCGGTACTGTATGTATTAGTGTGAACCAGTATTGAAAGAAAAGCGTGTTTCCTGCTCACCGTGTTCTGTACATATTTTGCTTCAGTCTTAAACGTTGGGTTATTGTGAGAGGCCAGATCTGCTGAGAAGTTCCTGTTGACGATAGTCAAGTAAGCCGTGTACTGCTGCTGGACACGAGGCTCTAACGTCCAAACACTGTATTCTGTCACATATAAAGAACAAAACACATTAGAATTTAATCCGTACATATGGACAATAAGTTGTTGGCACATGTTAAATTGTTCATACTTATGTGACATCAGGTCAAAACCCCAACTTTCACTGGGAAAACAAAATGTAAAAATTGTCTCAAATGTTTTACTGAATAATATCTAACAGAAGGTCTATATTATTATAGTCCAACCACTTGCCTTACAGCTGATTGAAAAGGCAGTATAGGTGGATGGTGGCCTAAGGAGCTTCAGAATAAGACAGTTTTTCACCTTAAATTCATACAATGATAAAGATCTCAGAGGAACTTCCTTTCTTATGTTGGTGTAACGGCAGAGAGACCAAATGATTCACAAGCCTTCATTCAACGACTTACACTTTATGTCACACAGTAAAGCTAAAAGTCTCCATCAACACAGGAAAAACTCGCGAGATTTGTCACTTGTTTTGTTTTTCATAAAGAGTCACTATAGGCGTCTGAACAGTCACTAAATATAGCAACAATGTTTATAAGCAAACAACAGTGCTACTTTTGTCTTGACCACAGCCATGCTTAACCCCTGCCTTCATCCCCACACTTGGTGAATTCATGGGAAGTCAGTACATCACCAGGTTTAAGATGACTATCTGACCCAAAAAAATTTACTGCTGAGGAGATTTCTGTTTTTTTTTTTTTTTGTTTGTTTTTTTGGATTTCAGACATTCGAAAGTATTTGCTTGGCCAAAGAGGAATAATTCCACTCTGAGAAAGAATCACTCACCCAGGAAGTACCAGGCCAGTGTGGCTGCGACCGCTATAAGGAAGACGAAAAGGAAGACGAGGGAGGCAAGCAAGCACTTGGAGGTGCGTGTCGTCTTTATATGTAGTTCTTCATTTTGTGTAGCAGCTCCTACCTGGCTTAGAACAAAACAAAACAAAAATGACAGTATGTGTGCCCCCCAATATAAATTTACTATGATATCTAAACATAAATTTAGATAATATAAAACATGTTTTGTTTGTGTTACGTCTTGGTTAATCAGGGGGAAATTCAGATCTCAGGTGGTTTCCCTGTAGATTGTTGCCAAACGTAATCTTTACAGTAAGGTAGCTGCTATTTTATTCCTCTGGGTAACATTTTTGAGAGATAACAATAACAATCTGACTTCAGAAGGCAAGTAAATCTGAGACGCTACAAGTTCAAAATCATGTTCAATAATTCCCTTGGTTAAGAAAAGATGTGATTTTGTGATATTTTTCTTTCCCGTTCCTCATGTTGTTTGAACATGAGGAATGTTCAATTGACACTTTTCATCACTGTTTAAATTAGAAACTGCTTTGGCTAAATTCATCAACACTTATTTGCTTAAACAGAGATATGTAGAAAATAATAATAATAATAATAATAATAATAATAATAATAATAATAATAATAATAAAAATGATTTTCTAAAAAACATATTTTTGGATCTCACTCTCTTATAAAAACAGAAAATGAAAAGAATATGCATATTTATAAAAACATCATTTAATTTCCTCACCATGAATAAATAATGATGTTTTATCTTTTGAGAGAAGTGCAGAATGAAACCCAGTAAGCTTTATACATCCATAAATCTGTGGGATGTTCCAAACTTTCTGCTTTTTGCCAAAATCCTTGAATCTGAACACAGAGTTTGTCTGCAACAAGCTTTGGCTTACAGTAAAGACTAAAGTCAAACTTTTGTCTTCCTTCATCCATCCATCCATTTTCTGTACACCCTTGTCCCGGCGGGGCAAGGGTACTGGGTCTATCTCCAGTGAACGTTTTGGGCGAGAGGCAGGTTTCACCCTGGACAGGTCGCTAGTCTGTCGCATGTCTTCCTTTAGTTTGGGTCATATGAGGAACATTTTTAACAATTGGGTATCATCATTGCTTTGGATAGGAAGCAACATTGTTCTTCCTTGTTTGTTGACTGAAGCCATTTTTTGTGCTTCAGCACAAATGAATTCAATTGATGGCTGGTTAACAGGGTTTTGCTAAATTGCAATCTTCTGAATGGGGTGTGTTGAAGCAGGGGAACATCTAAAACATGCAGGTCAGTGTGCTTTGAGGACCAGGGTTGGGAAACGCTGTTTAAGGAATGTCTTTGAATATCTCTGCACTGATTTTTTTTTTCTCCCATGCTTCTTTGCAACTTTCCACAAGTTAAATCTTGATTTTAATGTTGATCATCCCTACAGCACCATTGTTTTGGAGCTGTGGCTATATATTTAAGAACTTGTTTGCAATGAATTTTCTTTTCTCGCTCTCTATAAAAAAAGGGATATCTGACAAAAACACCAAAAAAGACATTAAGCTCAAATACTATTAAAAAAACAAACAACAGAAATTAAAATGTTACTGTTATAAAGGTAAAAAATTTCGTACAAAAATGTAGAAAAACTTATACTAGAAACTGAATATTTGCATGTATAACCTAGTATTTTCAAAGTTTCTAGTGGTTTTGCTGGTCATCATATTAATTCTAAAAACGTTTTTCATGTCTATGCACACTAAAATATTTGGCAGTAATACCGACTATTAATCTTTAGATCTTTTAAGTGGCTACTCTGATATTTAGCACAGGTTTCTTTCTCTTATCTTACTCATCTTCAGAGTAATACCAAAACCCGACTCTGACTCATGAGTGGCAGCTACACGTCAACCTGCCTTTTTATACGTGCAAATTTTTTCCATTAAGTTGAACCATAGTTTATTGCATATATGAAGGAGTTCCCCTTTCTAGGCTTCTGTGAAATCGTGTACAAGACGGTTTTAAAACCCCTGAACTCGAGTGTGGCTGAAGAACACATAACAGGAAGGGGTTTTGAGTACAGGAACCTGAAAGTTAGCATGAAACTAAAGCCATGTGAAAGCCCATTTCTCATGTCCTTAGATTTCAATTTACACTTAAAACCACAGCAGAAGTTTCTGTTTCCATAAACAAGGACGTCCGTTATGAAATATGAGGCAATAAAAACTGCATGCTAGACGGTGCGTTAAAGTTTTCTTTTCCGGGGTTTCAGCATTACTGACCTCATTGCTCAGAGTGGCAGGTGTAACCTCCTGGTCACAAGAGACGGACTCCTTCGAGCCGCACCCGAGTGCCATTGAATCACTCCAAGTAACTCGTTGCCCGAGTAGACATTGTAGCCTCCTGGAGGGCTCGCAATTGTTCAACCTTAAGACTCTTATTAATAGTTTTCAGCTTGCAAACAGTAAAAGCTGCTGTTTTCCGCTGCAGCTCCTGTTGTGTTTGTAAGTCCAAAGGTTTCCAGAGATCGGTTGAATTCGGACGTTGATGTCAGGCAGGGCTGGCATCCCCAAAGCTCAGAAAGGCTTTGTTTTATTCCCACACAGCGTTTGGCATCATTCACATACAGCAACAAGAGCGAGAGTCAGGTGCATCGCAGTTGCGCTAATGGCATTGCCTGGCAACAGTAAGGTAACCAGTCAACACCCCCCTGGACAGGTAAGTCTGTTGGGATCAAGGCATGGTGAAGGTTGCTTCTGCAGTTCATGTCAAGCCCAAAGCCAAACACACAGTGGTATATCTAGAGAAGATGCAAAACTTATTTTATTGGGATTAAACTTCTTACAGTGCATTACATTTGTTTATGTTTTTACTTGATAGGATAGGCAATACAAAGAACACCAATAAAAAGAATAAAATACATTCAATATATTGTAAAAATCCCATAAACTTGAGAGATTTATGGAAGTATAAACAAAAAATAAAATCTTATTTAAAGACAAACTACAAAAACATTAATCCCTGCACTATTGATAATGAAGTAATAGAAAATAATTTGTAAAACACCTGACTGTACTGTAGGTCATGCATTATGATTTAATAGTAGAGCATTTATTGCTACTTAACACTTTCGGCAATTTACTTAAGACTATCCACCCTCCATCACAAATCAACACGCATCACCCATCCAAGCTGCTTTGAAGTTCAAAGTTCACCTTAGCGCCACAGATCTAAACTTCACAAGTCCTTGTTTTGTTCTGAGAAAAAACATCAAATTAAATGCTACTGTACATGTCTTAAAACAGAAGACAGACAAGGATTTCTTACATTTAAGTCTGCAGCTTCAAATACTTTATATTCCTTTATCATCAACTAGCTTTAAATTTGGGATGTATGCATTTGTGCCACTCATGTTACTAGAGCAGCCAAATCTTTTTAAAAAACAACTCTTAAGCAACATTTGAGGAAATTATCAATAAAAATGGTCTGGATTTAGGATCTAGCATACAATAGACCCATTATTTTCTTAGAAATAAAGATAAACAACTTGTTATAACACTGGATATAGTATTGACAGTACATTTTTGTATAATAAATGCATTATAAGCTCTCACAAGGCTCACTTATGTTCAGTGGCAGTTTTTGACAAGGGTAAACATTAGCGGTTGCTCAGGGAAGTATTAGAACAATGAAAAACTTAAGAACAATGTTTACAATTTAGAACTTCCTAAGTAAATTGCATAGCCTTTTGCACATGTGATTACTCAATCTTCTGCACAAGTAGTCAGTCAATACTTGACTTATTACCTCCCCCCCCATGATTTTTGGTGTGCTGTTCAGCCCCCTGTGTTGATCTGCATCCTGTTTGTCGGTGACGCAAGAGGAGGCGGGTTGCCTGGCTGAGCTGAACATCGTTCAGCACAGCCCACGTCTGAGAGGATATCCTGGGCTTTGATTAATTTTCAGGCAGTATGGCAGTCAGCCCACAATAGGCGGAGTACAAGTCAACCTGTGGCATTCTGTTCGCTGTTAGCAAGAGGCCTCATTCTTGCAAACATGCTGCCCAGGGTGGCATACATGCAAAAACTGCCACTGCTTACTGTTTTTTTTTTGTTGTTGTTGTTTTTTACTTTTAATGAGAAAGAGCAGGGGTAAAGAAAAAAAAAAGTCAGATTACATGCATTCATTCAGGGTGCATTCATCAAACTCTGGCTCGTTAGCCTGGAAAGTCTGGTTTGTTTGTGAATGTGCAGGCTAACTCTAATGCGGACCAAAAAAGCGAACTCTGATCCGTGAACTCTGGAACTCTGTTGGGGCTTGAATGCATATCTGAACGTCAAGTGGACTGGAGACCACTCCAAAAGCAGGAAGCAGACTATGGTGCAGGGCATTCTGGGTAAATACAACAAAAACAAACCTGTGAGTCCAGCGCTAGTGGCAGAAATGGCTCATGATCTTTTGCCAAGGACAAAAGAGAAATCCTACAGCCGTTGACATCTGGCACCTTCCATTTGTCTGTACGTTTTGGAAGTTGTGCTTACGTCTTCTTCAGAGGTTTTTGTGTAGTTTCCTTCAGTGGTCCTTGGTGCAGCGCCACCATACGTGATGGGGAGGGGCAAGAGGTTTTTCAAATGGCTTAGTTCGTTTGACACAGTGCTGCATCAAAGTGAACCATACCTGCTGAAAATGCAACAAATGTAACTTTGGCCCCCAATCAAACCGAGTCTACTGGACTATCAGAAATCACCAAGAAGTATCACAACTTCCACAGTTTCCACACTGGGAAAATGGATAAAATCCTCACAACAATAATAATACCAGTGACTAACTGCGTATGTTTTATATTGCCATATTTTGCTGGGCATTATGGCTTGTTGTTTGCCTTGCATGGGACAGACACTTAAGCCTCCCATTCTTTGCTCTGTCCCTGCCTTACTGGTATGTAATCTTTGTCATGGGACTGGTGCACAACGCTACCTGACATAATCTGTTTCATTTGCAGTGGTGGCAAAACAGAACCCAGCTTTGATTGAGATATAATATATACAAGGGCTGTTGTGACAAAAATATCAAGGGGTTTGCCAAAGCAGGGGGAGGGAAAAGGAGGAAATAAGAAGCGAGTACCTTCGGCGGTCTTATCATCCTCCTCCATGATGATAAGATGTCCTCCAGACTCTCCTAGTTTACTTTGTTAACGCCTGAATCCAGGCAGGAAGCCCAGGGAAGCTCAAGGCTTTCAGCCTGGAATGTTGGGACTTGTTTGTAATCTGAAAAACCCTGAGGAGGATTTTGACAGAAAATGCCTCCAAACAATTTCTGAATTTCACTCTCCTTCCGCTCCTTGCTCAGTGACCCATCATCATGTCCTTCCATCATATGAATGCTGTCTTCCTCCATGCTCTCCTGACTGACTTCCTCGTAACTGTCCATGCCCGAATCTGCGCTGTGGAGCCGGAGGAACTCTGTATTCTCGGCCCGGATCGTCGGAATTTGTTTGTAATCTGAAACAACGGTGATTTTGCCCAAGATGCTCTCACTGCCTTCAAACAACTTCTGAATATTTGATTTTGTCTCGTTCCCTTCGTTATTTATTTCCTGGTTTTCTTGCACCCATGGGGTCCCCTCAACCATATTGATGCTGTCTGCCTCCATGCTTTCCTGACTGACTTCTTCATAACTGGTCATGCTTGAGTCCACACTATGGAAACTGTGGAGTTCGGTCTCGAGTTTCTGAACACTTTTGTAGTCAGAAATCACCACTGCCTCATGGTTAATTCCACCCATCAGAAGTGCCATAACCATTTCCGCTTCTCTTCTCGCAACATCACTGTCCTGGTTTTTATTTTTCTCAGCTTTGGGACCAGGAACGTTCTTGTAGGAGGCTTCGACAGCATGGGACATTGGACTCCCAGCGGTGAGAGGGAACACAGGAGGATTACAAAACCCAGAGTAACTGTGGTTGGAGAAGCTGGAACAACTGGACTCGTATTCGTTGAACTCTGGCATCATTTTTATGTCCGGCATGCAGGGTGTGACGTCGTCCACGGCGGATGTTTCTTCAACACAGACGATGTCTGCTGATTTTAAGAAGGACTGATAGAATTCACTGGTGACGTACGGATCCAACCAGGTCTGTGGAAAGAAATATGAGAGTGGGTAAGCAAGAGAAGACGGAAGAAATGTTAAAAACCAGTCAGGTTTTTGACCTAAAACCAAGAAAAATCCTTAGGTTAGCATGATTCAGCTAAACGTTGAGTTGGGGGCATGGCCTGCAGCAGTTTAGTTGGATTTAAAGTAACAAGAGGCTCATTCTGAAAAGAGGTAATGAACATGCGTTGTATAGCTCATACAACTATTCTATAATAACATAATATAATAGATCACCTTAAGTCTTTTTAGTCTTCCATTGTGTTTCTCACATTATTGTATTAAAATGTTTTTAAAATGTGTAACATTCATATATGAGAAATTAAGAAATCATATTATTTTCAAATGTGACTTTGCGCATTTCCAGTTAGTCTTTTTGTTTATGTGATTGTTAGCATTAAATTTAGCCTATCACATGTTTGTTGCTAAAAAGCGAAGTAGAAAAAGAAAAGAAAACCAAAACATTGCCTGGAATTGTGTTGACTTTGTAGGATCAGGCAGAGGTGGACCTGTAATCTTCTTCAGTATGTAGATCCTGGAACTAAGCACACAATAAAGCTATACAGGTCTGTGATAATTTGTCTAATATATTTGAATTTATTTATTTATTTTTGTTACTTACCAGGCATTCTTGCGCATTGCGATGAACACGCCAGGCAACAGCAACAAACCAAACACTGCTAGGCTCAAAATAGCCCAGTTCAGATCAACCACATCCTCTCCTGAAACACACAAAGAAGAACAAGTCCTGATGGTGTGAGTTCTTCTGCGACATCTTTTTGAGTTTTATGTTTAGGATTTATTGTTAGATTTCTCTGATACACAACACAATCTCAGAAAACATATCTCCATGGTGACAGGACAAACAAAGCAGAGCTGTATTTGGACAGCCTTGACACCAAATGAATTTGCCCAACTAATCCCGCTGGCTTCATTTAAGGTGGCCTAATTTTTATTTTATTTATTTATTTATTTATTTTTTACCTGATCTTGGTCTGGGCACCCAAGACACAGTGGGGCTCCAATCACTCCAACTCGCCCCAGCCAAGCCAAAGTTATAATTGGCCAACACACGAACGCGGGCGTCATATGTCTTGCCTTCTAGAAGCAAGTCTTCATCCAGCTGCGCCGTACATTCCCATTTACATACACTCGTTTTGGTTCGTAGATCCTATAGGGACAGATATTAATAGACATTTAACATCAGTCAAAGATGCAGTAGATTATAAAAATGTTTTTCACATGTTTAAGACTTTCACTATGTGTAGATTGAGACAGATGATCTGCTTCTTCCCTGTGGTGCTACTGCCATATGCAGAAATACACTGCTCTTAGTCAGAAACAACCAATCAGTCAGGAGGAGGGACTTGGGAGTGTCAAATTTGCTCGTGAACGCGTTGCTCCTCCCTCTTGCTCTCTGCTACGCGGCTCCACGGCAGGCTCCACTCACATGGTGGAGCCTGCTGTGGATGCTAAGTCTCATTAGCACCAAGAATGGTGGATAACCCGTTTTGCTCCTATGGTAATTTGTTTCTGCATTTGTTTTTGTATTGACACAGCTGCAATGGCAATAGGCAGAGGAGCTCCATTTTTCATACATCATCTGTCTCACATTACACGGAAAGTTTAAGAAAATATGTACAGTATTTTCCGGACTATAGAGCGCACCTTACTATAAGCAGCATCTACAAAGTTTTTTTTATTTTTTTCCTTAAAAAACTGGAAACATACTTATATATGCCGCACTGGGCTATAAGCCGCTCTCAGTTTTAACAAGGGCGCAGCAGAGGGCTGCGTTCTTAATAAACCTGCTGGATTTATTAAGGACGCAGCCCTCCGTCTCCAACGCCGAACAATGGATTTGTTCATGCCGAGCTTACGTGCAGCGGCTCTATTTCCCTCCTGTTCTACCAGATCTTTAGCCCTCAACTTAAAAACAGCATCATATGAACTTCTTTGTGTGGTTTCCATGATGAGGGGATATGAGTTTGAAGAAATTTCTCCATCTTGCCTGCAGGTAGCATGTGCTGGCAGCAGGCTAGCACATGCTAGCAGCTAATTTTCTAAATGAAAATTAGCGCTTTATTCTTTGATTTCCAATTTTGACTTCCAATGATTCACTTCCTGCTAAAGAGCCCCCTGGTGGTTGAAGAAAAATCCACACCGTGCTACAAGCCTCATGGTTCAAAGCAAAAAAGTAGCGGCTTATAGTCTAAAAAATACGGTATTTTATGTACATTTCTTTTTATGAAAGTTGCTCACGGCAGGATTTTTTTAAAGGTTGTTTACCACACATCATGGATAAATCCTTTATTATTTTCTACTCACGCTCCATCCGTGTCCCTTTCGTTTCCACTGTAGCTCTGTATTGTATAGGTAATATTTAATGTTTGTAGGCTTTGGAACTTGGGAGAACCAGGAAACCATGGTAAAGTTGACTTCAGGCTTTGGAGGGGGATTCACCTTTACTGCAAGATCATAAAATGTAAAATGCTCACCAGGTAATGCGACAAGATGGTAAAGTTGACGGTTCCTACTTACTGTGACATGCTGGCCGGTAAAAAATTATTTCACTTTGTTTTGAAGGGAAGCAGCTCAAATTCATGGACAATTTGGTAAAGCTTTGGAACTGAAAGAAAATTGGTAATTTTAAGAAAAGAAAAACAAACACAAGAGAAGCCCTTAGGCTACATTTGTACCACTTTTTTGTTCTCATTAATCTTAAAATGTCAGCTCAACTTTTTATTGATTTTATCTGTTTTAATCGATTATCACACTTTCTCATAAATAAGAGAAATAACATGCAATGTTTTCATCCATCCACGTCAATGGATCTTAAACAGGTTAGCCCTCTATGTTGGCAGGAGGAGATAGAAACAGTCATACACACACATAAGCTAATAGATTATTGTACTGGACTCCATAAAAACTCAAAAAACTCCATAAAAACTGAGTTAAAATTGTCAGTCCAGTTTAGTAAAGTCAAATAAGTGCTAACATTGTTTTGGAACAAGAGGGTTTATAGTTTACCATTACATCACCATGCTTCCTTATGAGAAACACAGAAAATGGCCCTGGACAACAGTTCTTGGTTCCTTTTCTAAGCCTCAGCCTAAAGGAACGCTCTCTTTTCTTAACCATACATGTGAATGTGTGTATGCGAGCATGTAAGAAGCTAAAAGAGACAGAGAAAAAACACAGAATCATTTATCCATAAATGATTGTAGATATTCTTTCCCATTTCTAGAAACTTTTCTTTAAGTATTAATTAGTTTTCATAATGTTTATATCCTTTGTGTTTGGGGTTGATGAATCATTAGCAAGTACATGTGTGTGATTACTATAATTTTTTATTTAATTCCTAAGTAGCACTCATAGCTAGATTACACTTAAACTGTTAATATTGTTGATTCTTAAATATATATTTTCATAAATGTGCAAAGCTTCTTAAGTTCTTTATCTTAGTAATTTAGCTCCTTCATGGAGAAATGTATGCATTTTTACATTCAACTGAACTGAAGAAATTAGGAGAAAATAGTTGTAACTGTGTTAACAAAGAAATGTTTGAATAGAGTATGTACTCAAAGACTAAGAAAATGTCCAGTAAGATTATTTCTCAATTTATGATAATTACCATATATTACAGTCGATCACAAATTTGTTAATACCCCTGGCAGATTTGGGTTTAACATAATCCTTACATTTACTAACACTGGATCGAATTGAAACTGAAAATTTACAAGAAGGGTGTAATTCCTGTAAAGCCAACAATGCCTTAATTGTTAATTTTTTTTCCCAAATTGATACTCTGTCTCTTTTTCTGTAAATAAAGAAACAAACCTTTTTGGTTGAATGGAAATTGTTTTACATCCAGATCTAGTATGAATAATTTTGAGCTTAACTGTACCTTCTGAGTTCATAAAAGATTTATAGAATAAATGTGGGAATATTTAAAATAATAAAATTAAAAATGTTTATCATGAGCCCTTTAACATAAGGTGATTGTTGGACAAAACAGTTTGTCACATGACAAATTAAAAAGTCTTTAGCTCTCTAGATATTAGAACAATATTCAACAGCACGGTAATGTACAGAGATGTTAAATGTTTTGTAGTATAAATAGTACTTTAATACTCACCAGTTCGGTTCCATTAAAAATCAATGAGCACTTCAAGTCTGGTCTGGTGTCATCAAAAGGCTGCAGCTTACAGAAAGCACAACTGAGTAAAAAAAATAAGAGGGAGAATCATGGAGCTTTTTTTTGTTTTCTTGTGTTTTTAATAATTAGCTAGAATGTGGTATAAAAACATATATGGCTCTATATTTATATCTATATTTAAATAAATACTTTTTTCTGGGCAGTTCAGCATATATTGAGCAGGCATCATTCTTATGATGTGAGCTTTTCCATGTGCAGCTGATGTTATGACTGTAATCATTGTAGCAAGTGAGACCTAGGACAAAGAAGATGAGATCAAGCAAAATATAAACTTTTTAATTTAGTCAGCACAGTTCAAGTGAAAGAAAGCACTGACTGTTATGGGGAGGGCCCATGCAATCATCAGCGGAGGTTGAAAGCAGATGGAGCAGGATGAACAGAAAAGGAGTGGCCATATTTTTCTCTGTTTCCTGCCAGTGTTTCCTTTAGCAGATCTCTGGTACAGCTTTTAAGCCTGCACGACCTGAATATGTGACATGAGAACATTTAGAAAAACAGGATTAAATGTTGGCGGCAGGATTACACCACTGCTCTAGCAAAGCACGAACAGTTCAGAAACAATAAGAGATGGGAAAAAAGTTATTTATTAACTGATTAAGTCGTGTTTTAGATTGTTCTTGAAAAACTAATCAGTCACAGCTGATTAGTGCACTCATGGCTGCACAGTGAACCCATTGATTTTTTAGAGCAGACAGCCGCTCCCTTCTTTTGCAGGTACTGCGTACCCCCGCTAAATCTTTCAGGGGTACACAGCACCCTACCATACCCCCTACTTTCACCCCACGTTGTATTATAAACGTTCTAATCTTCCTGTTGGCACTGTGGAGTCCAGAATATAAAAGTTGGAGGAATCATTTCACCTTTCATCAGCCACCAGCAGGTGCTCCTCATGAAATTTTTGACGGTGTCAAAAATATTAGTTGCCCTCTTGCAAAGACCTAAGAGTAGCATGTACTGTTTTCCAATGAACCATGAAAAGTAAAGTTCATCGAAGGAGCCGACAGAATGTAAAAGATCTGAGAACGGTTTCGAGGAGTACGTCACAATAAACAACCAGTTTCTCCATACAGGAGGCAACCTGGGGCTGCCATTACCAAACCAAGGTTTTCTAAGTATTATTTTAATTTCATTCAGTATTTTTCACCTTGTTACACCTGACTGAAGCCAAATAGTCGCTTATTTCTTTGTGCTCCTGCAGTGCTTGGGTTAATAGATCCGGTGTGTATTTCAGGTCAGGTTTGGCATGTGGTTACTAAAAAAACATGTTTGTGTTCAAAAGTCAACATGCAGTACTTGAACTGTATGTAGAGACAATTTATAACTGTTTGAAATGTTTGGAAACATGATTTGAGGCATTTATGTCAGAATATTACTTTTAAAATTCATTTTCATTTCCAAAAAAATAAAAATCTATTGAAGCATTTTTAGCTTCAATAGATTAACACAAGCTGTCAAGAAAAAAATCCTTCAAAATATTCTCATTAATATTGTTGATCATTTATTGTGATAAATCTTTTACATAAAAATTTTGATTTATTATTTTATGATACATTTCAGTGTATGAAGAACTGTCCAGATTGTTAGTTTTAGCATTTTTTTCCACTGTTTGTTCAAAGACGATGTCCTTACTTATCAATACATTAGAAAACAGGATGAAAAGCAGTTACTGTGAGCAATTTAGTGATACAATGCTACTTTCTGTGAAAAGAAGTAATAAATTGTTTTTATTGTCACTTATTATCACAATAGAACAGTGAAATATGCGTTTAAAATCTTCAGTCCATATCACCCACCTCTAATTTCCACTATGTGCTCAACAGTCAGACAGCACAAACTGTTTCTTACTGTTTTCCCGTCAGCAGTAAGAAATCTTAGCTATCTGCTTGCCTACTTTTTCCCCTCCAAACGCGGTCGACCACTCAAAAACCTTTTACTATAGAGTTTAACAATCAACAGGCGATACAAAAAATTGAAGTTTGCATCTCACCTGCTTAGGAAGGTGCATATATCCGCTTTAGGTGCTGCATTCAATGCAACTGACACAGAAGGAGCAACTCTCATAACTGGTTCGTTGACTCTTCACCTTAACCACAGCCACGTTATTAATATATATCGACTACACTGGAGGGATGAGTCATAACACAGTTTTTAGAAGTAAGTGTGAAAGCTAATTGAGTGCGATGATGTTTCAAACATGTAAGCAAGTTGTTTTTTGTTGACAGTTTTTAGTTACTGTCAACAAATTTTGTTTAAATGCCCACTGTCCCTGGAAGTTTAAATGTACTCGCAGCAGAGATGAAGGTCATTAATTTGGAGCCGTACCTTTTACTAAGATGAATATCAAAGAGTTTGTAAAAAACAAGAATTTGTTGCACATGTTTGAATTGATCAAATTTCTCCATGTATTCCAGTTAACAATTGGTTAGACTACATGTAGCCATCAACAGGCCTCTGGTGTGATTCTGGCTGGGATTTTGATCAGTGTTCATGCTAGGGCCAAAGTAGCCACTTCAGGTCACAAATATTAATAAATGATATTTATTTCATCACATGCAATTTTTATGTGCACTGCTTAAAAAACTGCACTATAGTTTGCACACCTTATTTGGCCTATTAAATCTGGTTTAAAATCTGTGGTGAATCTGCATGAGGGCAATACCCAAAAATCTATGCGAAACCTTTAGTTTTAGGGTGAATTTGTTTGAAACCTTTTTATACAAAAAGGTTTATATAAAACCTTTTTAGTCCACTTTCATCAGACTCTGGTTCGTAAGCCTAGTCGGTTCTGTTCATTTGAGAAGGTGTTGGCTTGGTAAAAACCAGCCGAATTGAGCAGGGCACTGTAGGAAGGCAGTGGCCTGGCTAGGAAGATGTGAACGCGTAATCAAACTCCAACATGGGCCAGAAAAGTGAACTCTGGTCCGCCTAAAAACCCAGGTCTCTGATTGGTTAAAGCAAACTCTAGTTCAGGTCTGATGTATTCAAGCGGATTGTTAACTGCTCCAAAAGCAGTTAACAAGGAAGTGGACTACAACGCAGGGCATTCTGGGTAAATGCAACCAACACAAATGCGAGAGGCTTTTTATCTTTTTGCAGAAGATAAAAATTTTAAATCCTAAAACCTCTAAAATCTTACACCACTCCATTTTTATTTATATTTTGTGAAGAAGGAAGTTGCTCAGTGTCTTCAGAGGTTTTTGTATCGTTTCCTTCCGTCAGCCACAGGCTAGGGGGGCACAGGTTTTTAATAGGGTTTAGTTTGTTTAACACAGTGCTGTGTCAAAGTGAACTGCGTCAGCTGAAAATGTAACAAATGCAACTCTGGTCCCCAATCGAACCTAGTGTACCAAACTATCAGGTGTGAAAACACGCTAAATTACCAAAACGTTTTCAGCTGGGAAATACGATTAAGTCCTCAAAACAACAATAAACCTGCATATGTTTTATACTGTCATATTTTGTTGGCCAATCGTTGTGATTTGTACCTTGCCGGTGCAGAGCATTCGTTGTTTTGTAAGCTTCCATGTACTTTCAGTTATCAGCGTCACTGTTTCCTCTCCTATGTTAAGTTGTTGCTGTCAACACACACACCTGCATCTTCACACACATACATAATGCTCTGTATGAATGCTGAAACTGAGGAAAGAGACTGAAAGTGCATCATCTTTTAGCAATTTCCATGACTTTCCACAGACACGTAAAACAGCAGGATTGTAAAACATTGATTGTGTTTTACAGGTTTTAGTTCTTGAAAACAGTGTAGTTTGTTCTTAGAAATGGACTCAACAGTAAACTTCTACCCCATAGGGGAGAAAAAAAGGGCCGTTTTTTGGGTGAGGCTGTTTAAAAAAAAAAAAACAAGTATTAAAATAGCAGTCCTGTTTTGCATCACATCTTTAAGGTTACACTTTTACAGCTGATGTAGACTTCTATTTTTGTAGCAAAGTGGTTCTACATGTCAATGTAGCATCAGGTGCACTGATGACATCCCTAATTTATGGGAAAAATATCAACAGGGTGGGTGCCAGAATTTTACTATATATATATATATATATATAGTAAAATCTGTATTTATATGGATTTTCTCGTATAAATATGGTAAAATTCTGGCAACCACAGCTGCCGGTATTTTACTATAAATTAGAGATGTTTTTGTTTTGTTTTTTTACAGTGTGGTTTCAGAGAGTTACTGTGTTCCATAAAAACATGCAGAAAACAACACAGCAATGTACTGATGTTAGAAAATATAATTTGTACTTTTGAATACTTAAGTATTTTTTCTCGGCTGCTATAACTTGAGTTTAATCTTGACGTTGAATATTTTGTCCACCAGTAATTATACTAACTGCCTGTGCAGATGTGAATGCCATTTCAGCATGCAGTGAATGCAAAGTACAGATATAAAAAAATTACATTTGTACTCAAAAGGAAGGAAGATTTTATTAAAACAAAAAATTCTTAAAAAGCAGAATTACATTAACGCTCTAGCTGAAATGTTGCTTTTGACAGCTACTCAAAATATTTCTCACAAAGCCAGGCTGAAACTGAAACCTCAGAAAAGAAGGTGAATTTCATGACACGTTAAAGCTCATGAGCAAACCTGATACTTGGTTGCCCAGAAATGCAAAACACACCAGTGAAAGCGTTCAATATGAGTGGGCCGTTTAGCTGGAACCGGGAGAGAGAGCTACAGAAAGTAAATGTTTTTTTTTTATATATTTTACCACACAAGACAAAAATACTTTAAAAATGCCTGTTCCCTTAGTGGAAGCAGTAGTACAATAAACGGTTTTTAAGTGTTTTTGTGGATTCTTTGTCGATTTGCATGTGGTGGACTTTAACATACTTTAAGAAATCTTTCTGTTACTTTTGTCAGCTCACAACTACAAACCGTACTAATATGATTCTCAGTGACTCATCTCAAAACATCAATATGCTAATGTGCAGTTCCAAAGAAAGCGACTTGTCAAGAAAAATCCCAAAAAACATGCAGGACCAAGGTGAAGGTTTAGTGACGGCTGCAGATGCATGTATTGAGTTAGACATGTTTTATGTGACTAGTTATGGTGACATTTCATTACATCATTGTGGTAATTTTCCTAACCCGTGATTGGAGCTTCAAGCAGAAGTTATTTTTGTTTTATATCACAAATTGTTTGTATTTTTATCGTTTGTTTTTGACATTTTAAATGCAGTTCTATTTTTCTCCTTTAAAACTAGGCTCTTTCAGAGCTCAGGCTGAAATGAAATCATCCTGTTTGATTAAGAAAACCAGCTACATGCTTATAGAAACTCAGTTTCTGAAAAAAATAAAGGTTTTTCCAACTCAGAGTTTTGCTAGATTTTTAAGAAAGTATTAAAAATGTAGTTTGTTCCTTATTCAGGCCTCAACATGTATTAGTCAATATAGATTAGAGAAATTTAGATGAGTTTTTTTTATTGCATTTCTCCTTTAAAATTGTCTCCAAATACAGTGGGTACCAAAAGTATTCATACCCCTTGAACTTTTCCATATGTTGTCACATTATAACCACAAACATAAATATATTTCATTGATATTTAATGTGAAAGACCAACACATAATGGCATATAATTGTGAAGTTGAAAGAAAATTATGCATGATTCAAATCAAATCATGAAAAGTGCGGTGTGCAGAAGTATTCAGCTGCCTTTTCAATTGTGTTCGGAAAATGTGTTATAGTTGCACCACTGGACTGCAGATGCAGAGAGCTGGTAGAGACAAACCTTCTGGCAAAAAGTGGCTCCACAAAGTATTGATTCAACAGGGCTGAATGATGTTGCACAACATGCTTTTCTGTTTTTCAGTGGTAAAAATCCTAATTTTGAATCATACATCATTTTCTTGCTACTTCACAATGTGTACCACTTTGTGTCGGGCTTTCACATTAAATTCTGATTAAATATGTTCATACTGGTGGTTTAATGTGGCAAAATATGGGAAAGTTTAAAAGGGTATGAATACTTTTGAAAGCCAGTGCATGTGTGAAAACCTGACGACTTGCCTTCACCTCATATTAGCTTTCCTGTTGGGTTTGATTTTGCATAACCTACTTAGTTTTTCACAGTCAGTATGTTGTTTTCTTACAAATACATACTTTTTTTTTTTTTTTTGGCATTATGACTGCTCTGTTCACATCACCCTATCACTATTATCCGTCTTTTGCAAGAATAACCCTGTAAAACTGAATAATCATCTGCTGATGTGTGCTTGGCTGTTGTCATTCAGGAAATCCTTTTAACACATTAACAAAAAGTTTAACTAGCTTATCTGTTTCGGAAAATCTACAGGGTTTGGTTTTTGATATAGTGATAGAGTAAAATCAGAAAAAAGTTTTTCACACCTAATCTTCCCAACAGATAAGACAAATTATGCTTCATTACCAGGAAATGTCACCACAGGAGGCGGCTTTTCAGTCATTGATCTGAACCCACCCATTTATATATTTATCTGAAGGCATTTTGCATGTGTGAAAACTAAACGTCACCTCAGAATGTGACGAAGCACTTCCTTTCTTTTTTTTTCTGATTTCTTCTAAAACTGCGGCATATCTCACTGGTTTTCCTTCTCGTCTCTAAACATCGTCTGGTTTTGATTTCTGTTAAGAATCCTTTTGCTGTCGTCGTACTTGCTGCTCGTTTCTGCTGTCATTTTCCCCGGCACGTTTTCTGAATTCGTGGTGAAAAATTACACACGATGGGCAGGATGCGGTGCAATAAGCACATCTGCAACAACGATTTGATTCTTTACATCTACCACGCCTGGAGCTAACTTTATTTTATATTTTCACATGTTCACATTCACTGCTTTACTGCCACAGTTACTAATCAGATACATTTTGGAAATCTCTCTGAAAAATATACCTAGGATATTATTGTGACTGCAGATTGAACTTTTTCCACATCATTTTTATGCTTTTAATAGAAAATATGATTTTTGTTGTTGTAGGTTTCATGGTTTTTGGTCAAAACTCTCCATTGGGCTCGTCTTCAAGCAAAACAAGTGTCTGACTCTGTCAAAATGTCTTCAGGAAATGTTTTTGTTTCATTGATAACATCAAAATAATCATATTCAGCCGGTAAAATTAGTATTGAGCATGTCACGGTGAATTTGAGGCATCACTGTTTGAAAAGTCAAATGGTTAAAAGTAAAACCAGGGAGAAATAAGCCTTTTCTCTGCTAAAAAGAGAGTTATAGTTAAAAGATTTCACTCTGGAAATATTTTTTTTAAATCCATTCAAGTCTAAGTAAAAAAAAGCAAGACAAAACACAGAACTGTTTTCATTTTAATATGTGTATTAAAATGTATTTTATCCACATTTACATTTACTGCTTATTTGTTGTACATTTCTTAGAAGGAAAATATTTGGAGAAAAATTCAGAAATTTCAAATTTTGCTTACTGACATACAAATGCCAGTATACTATGAGATAGTAAAATAAAAGTAAAACATGATAGCAAGGTAAGTTTTCTACATTTAACAATAAAAAGAAATGATATAAACAAACTGTTTACTAGTAGGCATAACAGTCATTTCAAAAGTGGCACAACTACTCCGCCATGTTTGGAAATAAATAAGGTCAAGTATTGGAAAATATATTAGCTGCCAATATGTCATCTGATCAGTGTGGGTGTCATTATCAGAGGGAACTATTTCCATCATCTTTACCAAACTCAGATCTTAAGTAAATAGTTTATATATATATAAAGCCTCATGAATGTTCAAAAATATTTTGTCACTGATCGATACATCATGAAGCTGCCATACACATGTGAAACAGAGACATTGTTGCATGCAGAAATTATGCTATTAAATGTTGCTTAGATAAACAAGCAAGCAGGGCATCCTCAAAATATAACATTTTACTCACATTAGATCATATATAGCAGAAATGCATTTTTATTCATTTTGACAAAAATAAAAAAAAAGCAAGAAAGAAAGAACAAAAGAAAAGGGATCACCTGAAAAAGTTACAATATTCTTTGTTAAAAGAAAAAAAATCTATAAAAATATGCTATTCAAAACTACACAATAGAGTTGCTGTAATAAAAATAAATTTGTGAGTTGTGTAAAGGCAAATTAACCTCATCATGGGCGGTTCTAGATGGGGGAATAAGGGGACCAGAGCCCCAGCAGAACTGAACCTGGTCCTCCACTATGACCGCTGTACTGAAGATATAGTAGTAAATTAATATCTTTTAATGAATTGCACAGAAACCATAACTGATCCATAATTGATAAATTTCAGGGGTTTTTTTTACCTTCACAGTTTCACTTTAACAATGAATTAAACATTAAGATGTTGCACTTTTGGCTTTAGCCATACTGTGATAAGATCACAGCTTTCATTTGCTAGTCTGCAGTATGTAACTTTTATAAAAAAAAAGAAAAGTTTTTTCCCAAATTTGTAAAAACTGTTACTATGTGGTGATAGTATAGTATGACACACATAATCTGTGAAAAGATAAATTCTTAATTATCTGAAAAAATGCACTGCTCTTTGTGTAAACCAACCAATCAGAGCCAGGAGAAGGGTCCTAGCGCTGTCAATCAGTCTCATGATATGTGCTAATGGTGGAGAAACATCTTATCGTAACATGAAAACTGTTTATCCGCCATCATCGGTGGCTATGCTAACTAGCCCTAACATTCTGTTATCGGGAAGAGTCTCTAACAGAGGAGGTAGGTTTGACCACTGATTATCTGTTTTATATCATATTGTCATAACATAGCAACAGTTTTAGCAAACGTGTAAAAAATACTTTTCAAAAGTGATGTTCTGTGGCTTTAATGTAAAAATATTGTGTACCCATAATAACATAGTTTCTTCAGGCGCACAGCAAGGCAGTATCCATGGTTACAAGGAAATGCTCTTTTTTTAAGGTTCTGTTGGCTCTAGTGGCCTCTGTTTGAAAGTAGCTCGACAGGAAAGAGGGTAATGAGAGAGGGAAGACATGCAGCAAACATCGTCAGGCCAGGAATCAAACCTGCAACAAAGGCCTCAATACGTGGGTTGTGCTTTGCCCCTGCGCTACCACAGCACCCTAAGGAAAGGCATTTTTCATACAAATAGCATGTAGGTTATGTCTCATGTTGTGCCTCGTATCTCAGACTGATAAATAAGCTGGAATAAAAACGGAGAAAATACATTCATTAAGAGCACCGCCCTCTGTTGGAACGATGAGTGCTGTCCGACTGCGACATAAGGCCTGCTGTCTGTTATCAGCTCTCTCTCTGCTTCACCGGCATGTAGCCATCGCTACAGGGCTGCCTCAGCATGCTACCTGACAGAGCAATCTGCTTCAGGATGTCGTTACCGTGGAGAGGCGGTAAAAACGAACTCAGAGTGGTGCTTAAAGGCTGCTGTGGTAGGGCCCCTGGAGGATGATGTGGGGAAAGGAAGCGGGTTGTTTCGGAGGGTTTGTCTTCGTCCTTTGTGCTGTCTTGCTGTTCCTCGTTCTCTTTTGCTGTCGTGCAAACGCCTGAATCCTGGCACGGAGGCACGGGGCTTTCAGGTTGCACCCTTGGGATTTGTTTGTAATCTAAACAAGTCTGGATAGAGTTTTTGCCCAAGACGTTCCCACTGCTACCAAACAACATCTGGAAATCTATTTTTTTCGCGTTCCCTCCCTCCCCTTCCTCGTCCTCCTGTTTTCCTTCCTTCGTCCCTTCGTCGTGTCCGTCGGCTGTATTGATACTGTCTGCTTCCATGCTCTCCTGACTGACTTCCTCACAGCTGCACATCCCCGAATCTACACTGTTTAGCCTGAACCTCTCGGCCTGCTGCAGCAGTTGCTGCTTTTCTACCTTCTCGTAGTCTGAAATGATCACTGCCTTCTGTTTATCATCACCCATAAAAAGCAACTTGACCATTTCCAGTTCTTTTTTCACCGTGGCTTCGCTTTCCTTTTCAGAGTCCTGTTCTTCACCTCGGCCACCGGCTGGTTTGTAAGGGGCGTCGGGCGCGCAGGGCTGCAGCTTCTTACCGGGTGCGCAATCAGAAGAGCAGAGCTCAGAGTAACTGGGGTTGGAGAAGCTGGAGCAGCTGGAGTCGCAGCTGTTGCTTTCTGGCATAATTTTTATTTCTGGTCTACAGAACTTCATGGCGTCCACGGTGGAGGTTACTTCATAGGAGACAATATCCACTGAGCTCAAGAAAGACTGAACATGTTCCCCGGTGAAGTGGGAGCTTAGCCACATCTGCAGAAAAAACAAATGAAGATGGGGAGAATTTAATGGATGGAACCAAAAAAAGCAGATGTTTTATATGAGTTTAAATGTCGCTAAGCTCTATGTTGGAGCACGGTTGCCACTAAATACGTCTTGTAATAACTTGAACCGCACACTACCCAGTGATGTTGCTGTGGTTTTATTTTTTCACTCTTTCCTCAGGTCTAGAGGCAGACTTCTAGGACGTTGTATTGCGGTTCCATCATGGCAGAAGCCATGCTCCATTTGTGAGAGTAAATGTGGTGGATTTTTTATTTTTTTTTTTTTACATTTTCTCTTCCACTCGACTCTTCATTAATATGGGCAGGTAAAGAGCAAGGAGGACTGTGGGCTGAAATCACTTTTATTTAATAGAAACATTTACAGCACCTGGAACATAACCCACCTTCACTTTTTGAAATAGTCCAAAAATAATATTTCAATAATAAATTGTTGAGATTTTAATTTTATGGTATAACTACCTCGGTTATGGAGAGTAAAACTTGACAACATTCTGTAGTAAATTTTAGTTTAGTTGTCACTGCTGTACAATCACTCTGTCTTCCTATGGTACCATCTCCATTTTCTGTTTGATCTTTTTGTTGTGAAACTCTGATGATAAGTTTATAGGAAGTTTATGTGAAAGTAAATAGGATATGTAATCGCTCAGATGTTTGTTTGTTTTTTCATTTTCCTGCTCTTTTTCCTTGACTGATGTCTTAAATGTTAAACACTTTGTAAGCTTTCCCATTTCAGTATTGTGTCACAAATATCTAATCTTTTAAGGATTTGTTTTAACAGCAATTACGTGAAAGTATTGAGATAAACAACCAGAAAAAAAACTAAAAGCTCACTTGGACTGCAGATTTTTCAGGCTTTGAAGAAAGAGTAACTTCTTGACCTTTTGAGTTCAGAGAAAACCAGTCCTGTGCCAAAACATAAGGTGGGTTAGCATAAAAATTATATTTTAAAACATTGCTTTGCAAGATTTTTCATAAATTAAGTATTGCTTTAAGAGCATTCCACTAAATTAACAACAAAAACAGAATTAAGAGAAATAAATTTGATTACCTGGAAAATTTCAGATTTCCCAGGGTCCGGTATGGGTTCGCCTTTAAAGCTTTTCACTACGTAGATCCTGAAACAATTAAAAACGCCATCATAAACCAAAGCCAAAGATGGCTGACACCCAACTGGGGTCAAACTCTCAACATAACACATCACAAATCTAACAAAACTGTTTTTGGAAAATGGTCTTAGTTTCTCACAGTTGTTTTTTGCGTGTACAGAGGCCTACGCCGGCGAGGAAAAGACTCGCCACTGCCACGATCAAAAACCCCCTGGTGGTGGGAAAATCCACAAACGACTCTGAAAAACACAGAAGGTCACATTAGTTGAGAAACATTACTGACAGAGTTGGTACTGCTGTAGAGATTCTGTAAAGTGTGTTGTGTTTGGGAGGGATGCACCGGTTTATGTTAAATTTTAGAAAGTTGATCTGCAACATTCCTGTTTTCCATTGTTATTGTTATCAAAATTGGTTCAACAAAACCTTTGTTCAGGTTTGCTAAAATTTTACCTGGGGTTTTTCCCACTTCTGACACCCATGAACTCGTCGGGCTCCAGTCACTCCAGGTTCCCGAAAGATTTGATTCTTCAAAGAACACGCGAACACGAGCTTCATAAGTCTCATCTTTTATGAACCAACTGGAATCCAGCTGAGCGATCCTGTTCATATTACAACTGGGTTCCAGCTGAGTGTTGCAGATAATTTTACAATTGACGATTTTATTCCGAATGGGGAGATCCTGTGAAGAAAAAACAGATGGTACACACAGTCAGCAGGCTGGTAGTTTCTCAATCTCTCATTGGAATAATCTACGGTTGAGACCCAGCATACTTCATCTGAGGTTGCTGAATCGTTTTTCATTAGCCACTTTTACATCGACAATATAATTGAGCAATTTGACATTTTGGAAATTAATTCACTTAATGCAAACATGCTAATTTAGAAAAAAAATCTGTTATTTTATAAAAAGTTTTGGTGCTAGGAAGAGGTAGTTTTTCAGCCGTACCGAAGTTGGTTTATTTTGCAAAACTGCATTGGAAATGTTTTTTTTTTTTTTTTTTTTTTTTGCAGTGCAGGGGTCATGTGATCGTGTTGGCACTGGTGCAAACCATGAAGAAGACGATATGAAGTAGTTTGATGATCATGTCGCAGTCTGTTTTTATTTTAATGACTTATTCCATGAACAGAGTCACGTGTGATTTTAATTGTATTTCTTATGTAATGGACACATGGCAAATGTGAAGTTGTGTTTTTTCGACATTAGTGGAACATTGACAATGTTTTGCGCACATTTATAATGGAAGCGCAACTATTGATGTAGATGCATCACAAAAATTTGCATCATTCTCATCAGTAGAATACAGCAATTTTGTTGGTTCGGGCCAGCAGAGCTCTGTGCGGTGGTGTGCTGTATTATTGGTCAGAAGTGTGTTACCTTGTGTCATGTGGAAATGCGCCCACATGACACAAGGTAACATGTGTCATGTGGACTAGTTGAAGTGCAAGCTTCAACTAGTCCGCTTGCACTATCCGGTTTTTGTATCCGTAACAGACATAGATACTTTTGAGGAACAGTTTGTCCGAATTCAAACGGTCTGCAACCGCGCGGTTGCGCCCGTTGACCAGGTGAAGTATGTGGCAGCCTTTATTATAATATATTAAAATATTTACTTACAGTCCATGACTCATCCTTTTGCTTCCACTGTAGGTCAAATTGGAAATACTTAATTCTACTGCCGCTTTCAACTTGATAGGTCCAAGTCACAGTGGTCTGGTTTACATTAGGTTGTCCTGGTGGGTTCAACTTTACTGCAAAATCCAACATTCAGATGTTAGCTGTCAGATAATGCACAAATAGGTTACACAGTTCCTAGCAAAAATACTTTTACTCCTCATTGAACTTTTACAGATTTGTCACATTACAACCGAAAACTCCAAATCATCTTATTGGGTTTTTAAATTATGAGAGTTTCTTTACTACATGGCTATTAGAAAAACAAAATGATAGCTACCTATGAATGGTGGCTCTAACAGTTCCTCTGTACAAAATGTCTACAATGAAATGTCTTCCAGGATTGATTTTTTATCATTTTGTGTTAATTAGTTGCAAACTATGTGCTTTGTGTTTTTTACACGGGACACCTATGTTTTTTGTTTGCTTGTTTCAATAAACATGGAAATGACTTTTGACTGTAAAACTTAGGTGATTTTTACAAAGACTTACTGAGAACAGCTGTATTTTTTAAAATAAATGTTCAGCAGTTTAGCTACATTTACACCTACAGATGCGTCCTTTTGAAGCTCGGACTTGTTAAAAACAACCAGACTTTTTGTACCTGTTGACTCTGTGTTTTTGTTTTTAATGATGTAAAGCACTTTGAAATGCCTTGCTGCTGAAATGTGCAATACAAATAAAATTTGATTGATTGATGCTTTTGGCAGCAGCACCTTTAACCAGACTAAGCTAAAGCTGTGATTTCAGCTAGTGCGTGTTAAAAACACACAAGCAATCAATGGGGTTACGATTGAAGAACGCTTCTGAAAAGGATTAACCTTTCATACAATCATAAAAGTTTCATACTTTTATTATTGTCACTTTAGATTTTCAACCCGCAACTGAAAATTGCCCCCCCCCCCCCCCCCCCCCCCCCCCCCACCCACCATAAAACGCGAAGTAACAAAAATAATCAACCTTGT